AGTAGCCCCCTCACCAGTTCTTGTTGCAAGGCCCTATATGACTTGAATCCTCAAGTGAAGAGGTTCGTTATACCATTTTGTTCAAAAGAGGCTATAATAGAAGACATGATTTTAAAAATTCTGGTTTCATCTGTGGACCGCTAGTAGCATTCTGTAATTGACGGAGGAAACATTTTCTGCAGCTATCATGACAAAAGACTGCACAAAACGAAGCTAGTGAACTGGCGTCCTGTTCCGAAAAACCTCCTTTTCGAAAGCTATCTAATGAAGCAGAGCGGTTCAAGGACTGGGCAGACTAAGGCTAGATTCTGGCATGGTTCTTAGGTTCATTAGTTGGAGATACTTTGTATAAAACTTAAGCGCACCAGTAACGAACACGAACTTTGGCGATTGTATAAACAAAAAACAATAATATCATCGAAACCAATGGCGGAGATGATGTAGTGCCAATGAACAAAAAAAAAACTAAACGCCATAACCCACGCATGAATAGGGACGCACGATTTGTGCGATCCCGTGTGAGCGCGGCAAGTTGTGCGGCGAAGTTCGCGATGATTCAAACAACTCTTGCGCCTATCATTGGAGCGAAAACTTGAAGTAAAGTACTTTAGTAGGGTCGGACAATCCTACTAACCTACTTTACTTCAAATATGGGCCCCAATGATAAACGCTGCAGTCGTCCAAATCGCACCGAATTTCGCCGCGCAATTTGCCGCGCGCACCCAGAATCGCACGAATCGAAACACACCCTGAATAGGCAATCGAGGCCGAGATCTATACACACCCAGGCCAACCGTGCCCGGGAACTTCTCCCTTGACACGGCGTCGCACACTCCGCACTCGCCGCGTAACGCAGGATTACGATGGAAGATTGGAGCGCGCAATTTGTGAGGTAGGGAGTCCTTTAATTATTCGAATTGGCTGAACGTTTTCTTCAATTTCAACGCAGTCTTGATCGCCGCTTACATAGGAGGAGTCATTTTAATTAATCAAGTCTAATAAACATGAAAACGAAAAAGAAACAGAAGAAAAAACGGTCAAATCCAATAAAAAAGCTAGGCAATCAACGAAAAATATCGCGTCCTATCGATAGGCGGGGAGGCGGGGTGAGTACGGGAATCGCAGTGACATTTGCCGTATGCCGCAAGGGAGAATACCGCGATAGGGGAGAAGTTCCGCTACCCAGGCCAACCATACCTTCTATCGCTCTGGGATCGATTAATCGGTAGACGTAACATACGAGCTCACCCAGAGTAGCTTTAGAAGCAGGTAGACATGGTAAATCAGTAGATGTTTCAGTAAATGATTCGGAAAGTTCTATTTGCTAATATTGGCGTAATCTATTTGAAACGTAGAACTCTAGAATTATCAGTTGTTCTGCTAAGTCCATTGTAGTGAAGTTTATCGTAATCTGGTCTCACTTTTGTCATTGCTACCATAGCACTTCCACAGGGAGGCGGAGCACACACGATGAGGCGGAGTCTGTTCAGTTCTATGTTCTGGAAATTGGCGCTCCTACAGCCTTTGCGAATCGGTTCGCAGTTGACAATATTGAACCATCGACAAAAGAAATCGGTCTCACAACTCTCCTAGAGCCGTATGGCAGACACAATTTCCTTTTCCAATGCATTGCAGGCTGGTAAGTCAGGTAATATAGTAACGATGGCTTCCGCTTTTCACGTGCCCGAAATCAACGAGCGGACTTGGAACGGGGCAGGTTCCGGAAATCACTAGTAATTTCCAACTTACGGGGAAAGCGGAATCCTAACGGTTTCCTTGGAAGGTGGAAGAGGGAGCGATGAAACCAGAAAGTTCTTAGAACAATGAGAAAGAAAAGCAAACACGCAAATAAGGAGAGGGAGAACTAATTGGTAATGACAAAAGGGGACTATTTATAGGAGGGGACTCCCGCCCAATCTTTAGGATTCCCGCCTAAAGAGGGTGTAGGTCACGGAGGTGACCCACCGTAACAATATCCTAGGTTTTAGAATTTCTTATGCGATCTGGCATATGTCACTTACTCATTGTGGCTTTGAAAGAGTTGAACCACGAAAAATTCTACGCATTCTACTTATTATAATACTCTTCTTGAATCCAAAATTTGTCTGATTTTCAATCGTTTCAGATGCGGAAGTTCAGAATTTTGGTGATCAGAAAGCAATTCATGATGAAGCGTGAGCTCGTTTATCCGGAAAATTGTTCTAAGGTCTTGCAGATCTCATAAATGTACATCATTTCAGCCACATGAAAGAGCATCTGAAAGATAAAATCGGAATCGATGCTCCTATGTCGGAAGAGCAGAAGCGGTTAGTATTCCTGTAATCCTAGTACTAGATATACAAGTCTACCCACAGAAAATACTTCAGAAGATAGAGTATCCACTGAAGAAGAATTGGGGTTGATCTCTTTCACTGGGAAACAACTATCGAGGAATTTCTTCTAAAACTGCCTCCCTACTGGGATGAAAACGCGATAGGATTAGAGTCGCTGGCGCCTAAGATGTCATTTAATAACTAATTTATTTTTTAGATTTAATTATTTCTGGATTAACGACCTCAATCATGATGGCCAACTGGATGGACTTGAAATATTGAAGTCCATGTTACACTCACATGATGGTCATTTGAGTTAGTTTTGCTTTTACATGCGAAGCCTCTAGCTAGCTGTTATATTTGGAAGTGCTGGTTATTTCAGCTGAAGTACTCAGTGACGAACAGGTCGAGAATTTGGTGGACTTATCGTTGAACTGGGTTGATCTCGATCGTGATGGACTTGTCAGCTTTGCTGAATATAAGAAGAGAGTCACTGAATCCAATTGAATTTGATGAATTCAATAAGTATGAGAAATGAATTTTACTAGTTATGTTGTGATATGCAGTTGCTTCAAATGGAGAAGCGCTCGCCATTGATGATATGGAAAGAAATACTGGGGAGAAGGTGGTGGTTAAAGACCCACTCTCAGTATGAGATACAAAGAAGGCCAAATCGGACTCAACTTCTTCTAGGGTGCACTTCGTTGCGCGCGTCCGCCAAAACTAGGTCACGCCGCAGCCGTCGCACGCGGCGAGTCTGCCCGCGATCTTTGACAAACGTCGCAGTTGACAGCGGGGCATACGATTTGCGGTTGGTCCACAGCATTCAGCCAATAAAGAAGAAAACACGACTAAATGCAAATCATTCGCTCCACTGACATTTGGTGGTACTGTAACGTCATCTCGAGACCCCAGAGTGGTGTGCCGCGCGCGAAGTGGGCGGGGTGACCTATTTTCGATGGACGCGCCCAATGGACGTTCTCCCTTTTTTTGTAGCCAATTTCGTCATCCCAACCGATTTCGTCACTGGAGATACTCACTGCCCTTAATAGTTGCATGCTGTTCTATTCATCTAAAGATCCAGTGGAATACATTGCTCATCTCACCCAGATGCTCCGGTACTACTCCTTGAAGTCGTCAAGTGCAAATGGTCTACTGGAGAGGCACCACGCTTGACCGTCGTCTATAAAAAACATGTTAATCGCCTGAAGGTAGTGCCTCATGAGCCATAAGCTTTTGGATTTGGAACTGCTCTCAGACTTTCCGATGTTGCCAATGAGAATTCTTGAAACTTGGGGTAATATTGAAACAGCCGTTCACATGCATAAGCCCGACCGGTAACTACCTTTGTCCACATACTTTTTCCCATCGCTGCTCGTGCTCCCATCTGTCATAACAACTGATTCAATCGTTTATTCCATGCTATATCCAGTATTTCTCTTATTTCGTGATGGCTCGCCGTTATGGCAACTCCATTTCCTAACAATGGCTGCGGCATTGCTTTTCCTGTCGACAATTTCCTCTGTCGCCAGTGAGTTTGCATCTTTTCACTACCAGATTTTGCCGCCAAATTCTCATGTCACCCAATTCCCGAGAGTGAGGCACTGTTTCTGCAATTAGGGTAAGGTAGGCTGTTAGATAGGCTGTACGACATGCGGAGTTGTTAGGGTGTCCCAAAAGTTTTGAGAAAATTTATTTGGTTTGTTCAACACAAAAATACTACAACAAAAAGATGAGATCACATATCGAGATAGTGGCATTCTTTAGCCACGACGTNCTCCCGCAGCTGTTCGCAGAATACCCTTGCAGTCACAGAAGTACCCTTAGGTAGGATCTCATAGTAAAAACAGCCGGCGGAGCAGAAGACGAACAAGATCATCTCCTTTTTGACGTGTGCCCCACGATTTGCGACGGCTTCCGGCCTTATGTCGATTGGTATCCACTGCAACTTCTTGTGTGGATTTTCATAAGAAACCCACTTCTCATCCTGAACGGTGATGAAGCTCGTCCAAGCCCCCGATAGCTTGCTGTCGATTAGCTTCCGACACAGATCTCCCGCACCCGATGCTCGCTCTCAGTCAAGGTGTGGGGAATAACTGCAGGAAGTGCTGCGCGAAAGCGATGTCTGCGTAGGATGTCGTGGATGGTGGAACGGGGAGCAGAAATCGTCCTCTCCATTTTTCTCAAGCTTTGAGAAGGGTTGCTCTGGACGGAGGCGAGCGCCACGGGGCGTCCGCTCCGTGGCGCTTCGTCGAAGTGAATCACTCCTCTAGAGAAGCGATCGTACCACCTATGGCAGGTGTCGAGAGAAGCTGCAGTACTGCCCATCGATGACCAATTCATTCCAGGCTTGAGTGGCGGAGTGACCAGATCGGTAGTAATGAAGCAGAACGCTCCAGTAGTCGCGTCTGTCGGATATAATTCAAATGATGATAACTTACTTCCAAAGATAAAGTGCAATACTGTTGTATTGTTTTGACTATCTAAAAAGAGTGCCCTTTTCCTGCCCTTTTGTCCGTGGCTCTGCCTCGGCGCTTTCTTGCGCAACATGAAGGGGCAGTGGGGAAATTCATGACCAATTTTTCTCAAAACTTTTGGGACACCCTAATATTTTGACAAAACGGTGCTCGAAACAGTGTTGGTTGGTCCAGGTCCTACTGTTAGCCCAATGTCTTTGTCACTGACCGGTTGTAGTAACGCTTGAGAGCTGGGAAGCCCCAAAGATTTTATGACAACGGCATTCATGATTTTACAATTTTGTGAACTCTAGTCGTTCCAGGCGTTCGAGTTGGCGAATTTGAATTTAGTGACAATAAAGCAATTCACGATAAAGCGTGAGTTCCTTTTTGTTCCCATTTTCCACAAAGCTCATAAATCACCTTCATCTCCGTCATATGAAAGAGCATCTCAAGGATAAAATTGAAATTGACGCCCCTAGGTCCGAGGCGCAAAAACGGTGAGTGTTTTTGTTGTTCTGGAACTCAACCAAACGATTCCATTTTTTGTCTGAACGGTTGCAATGGATCGTTGGGCAAAAGTGACTCGCTGTCGGCCAGTAGGGATTTCCTCCGATTCCTCCCGATACTAACTGATACCTCCTGGATTGATATCGAATATGGAGAAACAGAGAATTTTGGTGGTTCTGCTGGATATTTTTCAAACATTGGTAACCATTCACCTCTATCTTTTGGCCGCCTGGTGACTGATACACCCTTCTCTACAAACGCCACGTACGGCTTTCTCTAAACCTCGGCACAGTGCGATTCTTGGTTTCTCTGCTTGAACTCCTTCTCTACAAATTAATAAAGTCGCAGTCACTGTTAAGAAGAGAATCTACCTACGAATGTTGTTAAAAGAGGCCAAACAGAAGTTTTAAACTCTAATGGAGTTTGTCTTTTCGCCTACTCCAAGAATTTCTTGTGCCCACCGCTCTGTTGGTGGGCGGGACTTCCGAAGTGGGCGGGATCGGTGAGATGCAGGCAAGCGCTTGGTTTGTGTACGTAATTCGTTCCCGCGGGTGTTTTTAGAAGAAAAGAAACCTGTCACTTTGCCTACAAAGTTATAGCTCATCAAGTGGCGTTACTATCTCCATCTTCACTGACGAAAAGGCAATTTTGGTTGATTGTAATCCAACTGCGATGAACACATTCACGCATCCCAAGAGAATGCGAACAACATATTGTGCTGTGAGGATATCGGCCCACCAGTTCAGCACGTTGTATGTGTGAGTGCTGATAAGCTATGGCAGGTAAGCCATTAAGAGGGCGAGGGCAAGCAGGGTCTCGGTAGTGTAAGGGATAGAGCACCCGGAAAGCACAAGTACGGGTCGAGTCCCGTCCGAGACTGAAGTTTTGTCCATAAATCGTCATCCTTGTGAGACTTTCGCAACGCGTACAGCAGTTAACAAAACATCAAGTCTAAACGAATGCGAACAGTTCTGCAAGAGTACGTATGTGATGAAAGAAGAAACATTAAAGGCACCGTTCACATAATTTTGAGTAATCCAGATTATGATAAAAACGAAAGACAAGATCGAAACTAGTGCGACTGAAATGAAGAAACTGCGAGCATCGGTGTTTCTATAGTGAAAAAAGGCTTGAAAAAACGTTAAAAAGGGGGCTGGACGTGAATGAAACCAGAAAAATTAAGAAGGATGGGGCGCCCGGACGAGCTGTATAGTGTGTTTCACTGCGCGCGTTGGGTCCTGGTGCGAAGAACAGACAATGGTATGCAAAAATTCATTCGCTTATAAGCATAAATAAACAAAAAAAAACCCCTAGTAACAGCAAAAGTAGCTCACCTTTTTCAGCCTCTAGGAGTAGGAAATTAAATAAGGGATCGCGGCAGCAAAAAGAAAAACAGAGGAAAGAAGAATGGGAGAAAAACATGGCCTCATCACTCGGCGATTATCTCATTGTGCGTGGGTACTAGAACGAATAATAGCAATCTGTATTGTCTCGACACTCGTCTAACGTGACACCGATCGAGGGGCGGAAACGCGAACGACGGCAACAACGGGACTGCCACTATGCCCTGGACGTCGAGATTGGGGGAGTGAGAGGGTCCCTTTTACAACCCATGGGGGCCGCTCAGTATTAATAAGGTAACAACTCAATAACTTTTTTATCCAGAACGGTGCCTTTAACGAAGATGAAGGAGTGGCGGCATATCGATCCCAATGTCCTTGAGAAACGGTGGATGGTGAGACGAGTAAGGTCCACGCAGGACTTACGGGGCAGGAGAAAGCCGCCATGGAGTGGTTGTGGTCGGCTGTTTGTAAACATTTCTAGTATAAATATTTCCGCTACATCTGTCTGCCACGGATGTGGGGAGAGTGTCAAGCGGTGTCGCCGTCACAATAGACCAGTAGAAGTCTAAGTCAAATAGGCCTTGCTACGATTCCATAGGTGGAAGTAAACTTTATGAAGGACAAAAACCCTTAGGTGTATTCCTGCCAGCTCCTGCCATACATGACCAAATGTGCACCCAGGAGTCAACCTTCAGACCCATAGATTTTGAAGACAATCTTAGATTTATTGCTATGGAATATTCCCGGAGCTTGGTACACTATTGAAACAGCCAGCCGCGAGTACAAGCCCGGGCCATGACTATATTTGCCCATGTACTTTTCGTGTAATGTTGCTGCTGCTCATGTCCCTCGTGTCATAACAATTGATTCAATCGATTATCCTTTCCCATCCCAGACAGCTTTCGTACTAGATGAGTGCTCACCGAGATCGTAACCCTATTCAGATTGATGGCTGCGGTATTACTCTTACTGTTTGCGATTTTCTTTATTACCGGTGAGTTTACAATCACCTTTCTTCACGCGCCAGTTGCTATATCAGCCAGTCGTTATAGTCACGGAAGCTCACTCTATCAACTGGTGGGGGCAGAATTCGCACACTTCTTGAATCCGTAGGTTAGAACTCCCCTCCAGCCATCTTATACAATCGAAGCTACAATGAGGCATACTTCGGAGCGTTTCTGGGATTGCCTGCAAGTCG